ATGAAAGAGAAACCAAGACTAGTGATCTAAAGCACACACCTTTGAAATATATATGCATAGGGGGGTTACATTTGGTTTGTTCTTTGGCGCACACTTGTATAATTATAGTACTATAGAGAAACACATTGGAGAATTAATAGAGCACAAGAACCTTTTCTTTTCTAGGGCCTCTAACAACCTACTTAAGCTTTTTGTTTGGATTGGTTACAGTAATGTGAATGATTCAGTTCCAAGAAAAGTTGGGGTCTTAGAAAAAATAAGTAGGGGAGTTCAAATATAGAAGATTAGTAAGACTGAATTTCGAAGGTATAGGGTTCCTTTTTCAAATTTAAAAAATGAAAAAGAGAGGAATAATATACCATGAATAGATCAAGGTCTCTGTCATCCAAAGGAGGGTGGGCCTGAGCTAGAAGGGAGTACTTAGAGACGACGCTTTGGGATTGGGCGAGCTGAGCGTCGATTCTGGGGAGCTGGTCGACGGGGGTGGCGATTCTGAGGCAGGAGACGTGAGCCGCCAGCAGCTGGTCGTACAGAGGGTGGTTCAGGACGTCGGCCTTGCACTTATCCCTCTCCCAGCCTTGCATCTCTCCGTTGCAATTCTCCTCCCGGACGGGGTTCTTCTTGGTGGAGTCGTGGGGAGAGAGCCAGCGGTGGTCGTCGGAGGTCTGGAGGTGGAGGAAGTTGTTGGGGGAGCCGGCGGAGAAGTTGTGGCGGGGGCGGCGGAGGTGGGAGGCGTCGAGCCAGGTGGAGGGAGGTGGGGATTTGGGCGAGGGAGGGGGTTGCTGTTGAGGGTGAACATGATGATGATGATCGGGGGGGAGTACGGAGCGCAGAAAGGCGGCGTCGTCGTCTTGCTTCTGGAGAGCCATTTTATCTTCTTCTTCTTCTTCCTCCTCTGGTTGTTGATGATGAGAGAGATGGTTCTGGTTCTGGTGGGGGTGGTCCTGAAACTCCATAGCTCTCTCTAGATAGATAGATAGCTACTCAGTATAAGGGAGCCAGGCAGGGCAGGAAAGAGGGCTAGCAGCTATTAATAATATACGTACAGTATAATAAACACTGTGGAGGCTGAGAAGAGCAAGAAGGACAAACTTGTCATCATTTCATTGGACCCATTCAACATTGGTGGTGGACTGGT